TCTCTCTCTCTCTCTCTCTCTCTCTCTCTCTCTCTCTCTCTCTCTCTTTCTCTCTCATCCAGACATCGTTTCTGCAGGTAGAGCCAAAGGTCCTAATTCCTGAGCTCCTCACAGACCACCAGCCCTGCTCTACATACACTCTTAATGGATTTATATCTTAGAATAGTTTTGCTAGAAAACACTCACTGCTTAGGCCCACAAAGTTGTTATAGAAAATCTGCCTTCTCAGTGAGAAATCACTCTTTACAAAAGCACCTGACAACTGGGGCTAAGGCCCAAGTAAGAGTTAGCACCAACAAATACTTTATTACCTTAATATATATATATATATAATCCCACACACATACACACATACTTTAGGCTTGTTTTACATATACTTTCTCCATAAATCTCTTTTGTGTTCTGGCCCCAGGTTACACTTTAAACAATTTAAACAGAGACAGGAGACTGTAAAGTCTGGCTGTTTAGAAGATTTATATCTTCTTTATTTATATCCAAAGATATAACATATTGTCAGAATTAGTTTAGGCACACCAGTTTTTTTGTTGTTGTTGCTTTGTTTTCTGAATGGTTGTTACCCAGGGTCATCCTGCCCATAGGACAGAATTATGCTTATCCCCAAAGAGCACAGGGGACTTAAAACGATGGTGTGATTTTGAGCTGCCCCCTTTCAGCTGCCTCTTAGAGGTAGGTCTTTGGCCCTAAGGGCTCACCAATCCTGCTGAATATATATTTGCATCTTAACATCCTAAGTTTTGTTTCTCTCTAATAGGCCTAATTAGCAAACTATTTATCTCTGGGGTATTTAGCAGGCAGCTCCTTCAGCTAAATTCCACTTATGTGACTTAATGTCTCCTATGCAAATCTCTTAGTAAATCCTTTATAACATCTGAATTTTTTTCTACATCAAAGTAACTAAAATCTGGACGGAAGCCTAATCACCATTTTCTGTGTCTCCCTTACTTCGGCTCAGACTCCTGCTTGATCTGCTGACCTCACTTCATTCCCCTTCAGTAAATCATTGCCTTAACCTTTCTTCTTAAGATTACCTTAGATTTCAGAGCTACAGGCCCATAAGCATCTTTGTGGCAAGGGACTGAAGCTACTCCCATGCGATGGTAAGACAGCAGGACAGACCTCAAAGAACCTCTGGAAATCAGCAACAAACCACCAGCAGAATGCTGGTGTACAATTCTCAATTAGAGGATGAATAGAAGAATCCGCTGAACATGGAGCGACATAAAAGCCGTTGCACGTAGTCAAACTCACAAAAATGTTAAAGTATTTGATACTGCAAGTACAAGAAGTGCAATCTCAGCAGTGAGGGGGAAAAGGGAAAGATGTCATGTGTTTGTGTGTGTAAAATTTTTCCCTGTTTGTCATCCTAAAGAAGTAAATGGAAGTCAACTATGTGTGTTCACTTCAAGGCACTTATTTTGGTGAAACTTTGGAAACAATCTACGCACTCCTAAGGAGACAGGTGAATAGTAGGTTAGACGTTGTTGGTCGCATTCCGGAACACCCAATAAGCCGGACCACGCCGTTCATAGTGAGCACCCACTGCCGATAGGAGTACCCGGGCGGCCTGGGGCACAGCTTTGTCCCTGCTCCAGGAGACTCGGGGCAGCTAAGACTCAGGGGCCCACGTCACGTGCTCTGCCGCTGCGTTTCCCAGAGAACCGTCTTGCAATTGGTTCTGCTTGGTCGCGGAATGATGACGCTGTATGGTCAAAAGGTCGGCGATCCTACCACCTTAACGAGTGAGTTGCTATGGCGGTGTTCCGTTTGGATGCTGATGGAGGAACCACGCAGCAGTGTCGTGATGTGCGATTCCCAGGCTCCAAAATCCTGCCAGTGATGTTACTGTGTCCAGCGTGTCAATTTATGGGTCAGTTCAAGAGTTGAGTTTCAACAGGCCACAGGTTTTTACCTGCTTTAAATTTGGGCACATTATCACTTAAATCTTCACCCAGTACACAACCCGATATAAGCCTTTCTCACAAGTGCATTTGTGTATGTGTTTGTAAAACTAACTTATTTTCATCACTCGCGTTGGACTGTTCTTACAGATTCCAAATCCACAAGCTTCATCTCTGGCTCTTTAAACACATTAGAGGACTCTCTCTCTCTCTCTCTCTCTCTCTCTCTCTCTCTCTCTCTCTCTTTAAAATTACATTGTGATAGGATCATATGTTGGGGAGATCAGAGAGCCACATGCAGGTGTCAGTTCCCCCTTTCCCACTATGTTGGTCTCGGTAATTGAATATTAAAATCCTAGAAGCCAGTGCCTGCGAAACAGCTCTAAATTTTGATCGATGTTCCTATAATTTTCATGTCTACTATAATTTCATTTTAAGTTCACAAATCAATTACCTTCTCAGTATTAAAGGGCAAGACACCTTGAGCAGCTCTTGGGATGTTTGTGCTGTTTCTGACTCTTATCCTCCAAGAGTTTGTGCTTTTCTACTACTAAACTCAAAACATTGCATATGAACCTTATCACATAAAGGTCTGCACAATGATCTCCTTTGTGGCAATATTAGAATTTTAAAAATATGCTATATGCTAGTGGATGTTGGGAGTCTCACGATTTCCACTTCACAAAGGACGCTTGTGATAGTGATCTTCTAAGCCAGCTGTGGTGACACAGGCTAATCTCAGCACTTTCAATGGAAGGACTTTTTAAAAAGACTGAAAATAAACAGGAGGAAGGCGATCACAGAAAGCAAAAGCCAGCTAAACTGAAAACAGAAAAATCGCTGACATAAACTCTTTGAAAACTCAGTAAAATTGGTAACTCCCTGAAAAGACAAACATTACTGATGACAGGAAGACGCTTTGCTAATACCAAGACCATGGGTGCATTTGCATATGCCTGTCGTCCCGGCTACTCCCTGGGAAATCAAGAGGAACATGTGAGCCTAAGAGTTGAGCAGCCTGGGCAATGTTGTGAGACCCACTGTGTTGACCTCACTGGTCAAGGTCTTGTGCTGTTTGCTCACAAATCAATCTCAGTTAGCTGTGGATGCTGGATCCTGCCTCACAAGTGCTTGGAATGTGGTATGTCCTGTGACTGACCAGATGATGCCCAAGCAGTAAGATTCCCCCAAAGACACTGTACCCCACACCATGCTGGTTGTCTCAGAGTGGCTGGGCCTATGCTACTAGCTTTCCCCTGGCCAGGGTCCACCAGAAGAGGATTAGCAGTGGGTGGGAAGATGTCACAATCTGTGGATCAGGATCAAGCTTGCCCACTTTTTAAAATATGTATAAACATTATAACGTGTAATAGTTTTTAAAAATCATGGAGGTAACGTGAATGTTCACTACAAAGGAAATAAATAAATAATGGTGCATTTGAATTAATACCAAATGATATTTGGCTACTGAGATTAATCCATATGTGACATATTAAATATGAAAAACACTTGAGACAATCCTGTATATAGTGTGGCTTGTAAACGACTCACCTATTTATATCGCTGTAGCACAGACCTTTCCCTTGAACTTCAGACTTCCTACTCAGTGTTTCCTCTTCCAGTCTCCAAAGTATTGAAAATTCAATAATCTAAAAACTGGGCTTAGAGATTTCTATCTTCAAACCTAATTGTTTGTGTCCACTTTCCTAGTTAAGTCGTCCACATATATGTTGTATGTCTAGGACTCAACTTTGACACCTCCCTCACCCTGGCATCATTTTCTCTCCAGTAAGTTTGCCCACTTTTAACAAAAATTAATTGGACTGTGTGGATGTTTTGCCTGCATATATATGCCTGTGCACCACTGGTAGGCTGGTGACCAAGGAGGCTGGAAAGGGCATCAGACCTGGAACTGGAGTTACACATGGCTGTGAAACACCCTGCAGATGCTAGGAATTGGTCCAGGTTCTCTGGAAGTGCAGCAAGGCCCCTTCCTGCTGAGCCATCTCCAGCCCTAAGTCCGGCCACTCTGGTTCCCAAAGTCCTTCCCTTTAGGGCCAATCCTAAAGCGTTTCTCACAGTTCTTTGCAGGGACCAGGGCATGGGACATGAATTACAGAGGCCCCTAGAGCCTTGGGAGCTTGGAAAGAGTTCAGTTTTCTGTCATTACCATGTCCTCATCACTGCTGAGAGCAAAGAAAACTGCAAAAATTAATTTACCCTCACTGTTAAATGTCAAGACTGTTTTCACATTTTTTTCCAACAAGGTAGCACCAAAGATATAAAGCATCTTGTCTTTGTTAAAACAAAATACAGATTATAACAGAATCCAAACTTCCCAATTTGGCAAACCCCGTAGCAGAGAACTTGAAATACGACTAAAATGAGGATTTGTGATTAAAGCAAACTTTGCCTTTATTGCTCCTAAATGTGGCTGTCGCAGCGCAAAAAGAAGGCACCTCCTATCTTACTACTTTCTCCAGGTCCCTGGGTGTGTGCCTTGGTTTGCAGTGACAGCAGCCAGCCTGGTGCTGACTGCAGGGTGTGCTTGCCTGTTCTTTGTGTGTGAGGTGCACTCTGGTGAGGCTTGAGTGCACAGGGAGAGCAAAGGGGAGGGGGGTTGATGTGAGGGATATAGGGGGAAACTCTGACAGGGCAGGGAGTAAGGAACAACAACCTGGAAAACAGAGGTGAAGGGGAGAACTGGAGGACTCTAGCAGAAAGAATTGAGGGTGGAATGTGGAATGGATAGTGAGCAAAGCTTGTCTTTTGAGAACCATGTTAATTCAGATTCAAACATTCCCAGAGTGCCAGGAAATCGGGAACCTTAAGAATATGTCTGTTCCAAGCCTGGAAAGTGAACACCATTCTGTTCTTGCTATTTTGGACAGGATAGAGTTTAAAGAACTTAATTCTTTGACTCCAGGGCATCTGCATCAAGGGGACAGGTTGTGATATGTAAAGCTCAGCAACATGTCCTTTCCAATCACTGACACTTCTCCTTCTTTCTTCTTCCCTGTCTTCCTAAGGGTCGTGTTGAGTGTTCCAGGATCTTAAGTCAATTCATGGCAGAAACCCGTTTGCTATTTCACACGTTAGTAGCACCTCAGCTCAAACTTCGAGTTTCATCTTGTCATCAGGTCTATATGGAGAACTGGTTTGACTGCTCTAGATGTGGCTTTGGAGTTCTATCATGGGTATGACTGGCTGAGACATAAAGTAATATAATCCTAAGTTAAGTAGGGCTACCCTGGCAGTTGTGCTCACCACATGCAGTTGTGGTACTGTATGAGGACCCGACCTCTAGATCACATCCGGATGGTCTTGTCACTCAAGATGAAGCGCTCTAGCAGTCAGAGAGGAAGTGAAGGTTTAACTGAAGCAACCCCCCCCCAGTTCAATCCTTCAGCTACTGCTTCATTGGCCAGAATCTAATCACACGTCAACTCTAGCAATAACTCAGACTGAAAAGTGGGTCCTTTGTAGTTGCAGCCTCTGATGTTCCCTCCAACCATGGTGCTTCTGGCAGGAGCAGCACTCAGCCATCAGCTAACTCTTCACATTTATCATCAGTAACTCCCATGCCAGGTGCTCAGGGCAAAGACAACTGTCAGGTCCATCACCTTTTTTATAAAAGACAGGGTGCTTTTGAAAAATAGTAAAATACCAATGCCCAGAATCTTATTTGTGGTGGAGGTTCTGGCTAGGCATATGGCCTAAGACAGGTAATTCGCAATGTTTTGAGGATTCTAGTGTGGCTAGTGCTACCCACAGCGTTCACACTGGTATAGGAGCTCTTCCCGGACCCTCCCACCTCTATAGGTGCTTTCTACCTGTCAGGCTCCTCTGTCCTTCTCAAAATTTAGACACATAAGGCAGAGAAGCAACAATTATATTATTTATTTGTCAACTTCCAGAAACACGTTCTTTACTGATTAAGTAGAAAAATAACAAGTTTACTACTTTCAAAAGGCAACTGTGACAAACCAGGAAAGGGGTTTCTAGGAGTCTAACATCCAGTTTGCAGTGCTGCTGTGACAACAAAAATGAACTGTGTCCTCCACATCCTGAGATTTGAGATTGGCATTCCTTTGCAGAGCTGGGCTGAAGCCAAGAAGCCTTTCTCACCCCACTAGCTGGCCCAGTCCTGGAACCGAAAGCAGTCACTTGCTATCTTCCACACTGTGTTAGTGGGTGAGGCCTGGGCGGTCAGGATGAAGTTCTGGTTGAAGTCCCGCTGTTTGTTGCCCTCAAACTTCACTGATCCACAGATCACCACAAGGACTGTGGTCTGGCTTGGTGTAGCTTCATCATGGACAGGCTGGCAGTCCACCACGTTGATCTGGAACTCACTGGAAGGCAACATCTCAAAAAACTCATTCAAGGCTTCTTGTCCTGTAACAGCATTTCCATTCCATACTAAGGTGGCCGTGCCCATGTACAGGCGGGACAGCAGCCGCCGCCGCTTATCCATGGTAGTGTAGTAGACATTGACAAACTCCTCTGCAGCTCTGCAGGCCTGGTCCACATAGGTCTTGAAATCTACTGATGCCATCTCTGGTTCGGCTGACAGAGGCTTCTGTCAGAGTGGCTCCTCTGAAGGAATCCAGGGGCTATAGGGCAGAAAAGATGAAGGGAACAAATGTGAATATTAAAGTCTATTCTGTTCTGATAAAACTTTTCTCTCGGGTCTTAATTTTTAAAATTATAGGTGTATGTATGTATGTATGTATGTATGTATGTATGTATGTGGCTTGGTACATGCCATGGCTCATTTGAGGTCAGAGGATAACCTGCAGGAGTCTTCTCTGCCCACCATGTGGGTACTAGGAATCAAACTCAGGTTGTCAGGCTTGACAGCAAGCACCTATACCTACTGACCCATCTGTCCCAACCCTCCTTTCCCATAGGTGACAGAACATTCACATACTGCAGGCAGATGACCTTTGGCTCACATTGGTGCTTATTTATTTTCAAGGCAGGTCTCAATATGTAGTCTTGCCTGCCCTGGAACTGAGAAATCCATCTGCCTCTCTCTGTCAAGTGCTGGGATTAAAGGTGTTCACCACAAAGCCCAACAATTGTTGCCTGTTTGATCTTACTAATCCTCAGTTTCCTCATTAAAAAAAAAAAAAAGCAACAGGAGAATTAAAATAGACAATGAATATCCAGCAAATATCCAGCACTGAGTTAAGAAGTTTAAGCCAGAGTGGAGGGTCACACTGAAGAAGCTGAGGCAGGGGCCAGCCTGGAACAGAGAGAGCAAGCCTGGTCTCAAAAAACAACAGAGATAACCTTGTCTCAAAAATAAAAAATTAAAAAAAAAGGAAAAAAGAAAAAAAAGAAGAAAAAAGGAGTCTGATATGTTCATCTTACAATGGGTTTTAAAATTTTAAAATCCATTTACTTACTAGAGCACATTTGATGAAAGAACACTGTTCCTGAAAGCTTGGAATAGGTGTGACTGCCTCTAGGAAACCAGGGTGTGGCTCATCTTCATCAGGACAGTGGCTCATGCTGAAGAATTAAGTGGTTACTGGCCCAACAAAGGCTACCAGAGGGAGAGCAGGTGCTGGTCTGAGAAGACTACAAGGAACTGACCCAACAAGGACCCACAAGATGCAGGGAATGACAGATTTCTAGGGACAGTGGAGGACAGTGGTCACAATCCCCAAAAGAAGTAAACCTAAGATTGCCTGGAATTTACATCTTTAGCACTAATGCCCACAACGTAAGACCAGAGGGACCATAATACCATAGCAGAAAAGCCCTTGGATTCAAACATTCTAAGGGGGAGGTGATGGACAGTATTTCTATCTGAAAGATCACAGCTCCCTAAAAACTTATTTAAGTTCCAACACATGAACAGCATTGAAGCACGATTAATAAAAACCCAGAGACAGAAATTAGGGTTCAACCTGAAGGTCAGAAAAACAAAACAGCCAGCCACTGGCTCTTACCTCTACCTCAGTTCAAAATGGCCATCCTGCCTCCAGGAATCTCAGAATGAGACCGAGAGCTGTCTCCTCCTGTCTTATAATCAATCCTCTCTAGTTCTGGGATTAAGGACATGTACCATTACCACCTGGTTTCTATGGCAAGCTAGTGTGGCTACTGGGATTAAAGGTGTGTGTCATTGCTGCCTGGTCTGTAAGGCGGTCAGTGCAGCTGTTTTACTCTCTGAACTTGAGGCAAGCTTTACTTATTAAATGAAATATCACTACACAGTATTTCTTTTCCATTAACAAGACTGTTTGTTAATTTCTTCTATGATTAAAATTCTCCATTGAAAAGAAACTAATACTGACCACTATTATTGAAAATAGTAGTCACAAGTAATTTGTAGTATTTGTCAATTTCCAGAAACAGGGTCTCTACTGTGTAAGCTTAAAACTTAGGTAGTGGACACTTCTTTTTCATTTCAAGTATCTTTATTTTATTGATACAGGGTCTTTCTATGTACTTCTGGAACTTGCTATGTAGACCAGGCTGGCCTCGAACTCACAGATATTCACCAGTCTCTGCCAGGAAAAAAGATGTGCACCACCATGCCTGACCCAACTTTTATTAACTATCAGGTCATGGACGATGATTCTACACAGGGCTGGGACTAAGCTGGTCCTATAGATAAGCAGTTCTGAGCCAGTTTGATAATGCTCTTTCCACTCTCTCCAAGGGCCTCAGACTGAAGACTCAACAATCAATCTGAAGACATATTTGCTAAGTAGTTTAGGAGCATGCTCTCAATCATCACTGTACAAATGGGTATCTCTGTAACAACTTTACTAAAGAGAAGAGGGGCAGCAGACTCTCAGTCGATTCAAGGTCATACGAGGGGTCAAGGCCACGGGGTCCTATTTACTAAGTTCCTGGACTTTTGAAAGTAGGTCTATATCCAGGGATGCCGGCTTGGAAATGTACTCCCAAGTAACCACATTTCTCTCTGCCCAACCTTTTCATCTATACAAAAGCCGCTTCCCTAGACCACGATGCTCCGGGTTGACATTTTGTCTTCTGCTTCCTCCAAACACAATCCAGCAATGGTCACGCCCCCCAATGATGATCATCACCCTTATTTTTGGTCCTCAGCTACCCACAGAATCTGCTTAGCTCTCATATGAGGGGAAAGGAGTAAGACCGAAACACAGTACAGTAAGAGGACGGGAGGATGCTTCATTCCGTGGTTCACACTCTAAGTTCCCGGAGCTGGACCCCAGGAGCGGCAGCCGTGCCCGGGCCTCATGTCCAGCCAAGCGTCGCTTCTTATCAAAGCCGCTGCCAGTTGATTGTACACTCTTCAGAGCCATCCTCCGGCACCCAAACATTTGCTCTCCTCCAGGCAGGGCAAACTCGCCGCTACCGTTTTGCATGGAAAAAATCCTGATGCTCAGCTGCATTGACACCACGTGGGGGAAAACACAACGCCCAGGTCTTACTGAGCCCGGCCCCGTGGCGCCGCCCGACGGCCACAGCGCAGCCTGGCAGGGGCGGTCACTTACCTGCTCCGCCCCGGTCAGCGCCTCCAAGGCAACTCGGTCCCGGGTCCCGCCCTGGCCGCGGTCCCGGACCAGAAGAGTTATGTTCCTGCCCTCCTCTTCCTCCCAGAGGCTCCGCCTGAGGTGCTGGCTTCCTGGAGGTGGAAAACGGTTGGGCGCCGGTAGGGGCTTCCCGCGCGCGGCGAGCTGCGGCCTACGCAGGCACGAGGGTCCCGGTTTCCCGACAGCTCCCTCGTCCGCGCGACTGGCAGTGACGCGAGCCAGTAGAAAGGCTGGCTCCGCCCAGGTGTGGCTGCGACGGCAGAGCGACTTCCGGGGCAGTCACCAACCTAGAAGATCCGGTTGAGGGAGCTCTGATTGGAGGGCGTGTGAGGGGGCGGGGTTACGCGCTCCCCTGAGGAAGGCTTGGCAGGAGAGAGTGTTTTTCGGGTGCCTCTGTCTCCCTCTTTCTCTTAGTCTGATTCTTTGTGAAGACTCGTGACGCCACCTAGGGAGACAGCAGCAGGGCTGCAGTAAGGCTCTGGACAGAACCTAGCCCATAGGACATCCGCAGTATTGGAGCCCTAGTGGAAAGCTAAGTGAGGGAGTCCTGTAGAAGTCCATGGGGTCAAGGTTTTTACATTTGCAGATGTGCTTATACGGTAGAACCAGTTTTAGTCTAGTGAGGAGAACTGAGGGTAGGGCCGAGGTTGCGGGAGAGGCAGCTAGAGGTGGCAGTTGATTTTCTGTGCCTCCTTAGTTGAGCCCCTCTGGCTCTAGCTTTGGCGCGCTGTTCCTACGCACGCACGTAAGGTTTGTTTGCTTGATTTGGTTTGGTTAATCTAACGCTAGATACTTAGCGTTAGAACGGAACTATTTAGTGTAGGAACTTTGGAAACTGCTCAGGGTCACGAAAGCTCCTTTTCCCAAGACACACGATTCTCTCCATCTCTCCCGCTGGGAGAGCCCACTGGAAGTAGGTTAATTGAAGTACTGCTTTTTGTTGGCAAGCTCTTGGGTCCTTTTGTTCAAGTTCCTAAGATAACCTTTGTTTATAGACTCGAGAAACCAGATAGACTATTTAATATAGGCCACACCCTACTCCAGTAAAATAGGTGAAAAGTTTGCTTTATTCAAAGAAGTAAGTGGGAGACTGAGTTTAGCGGATGAATCAAGTGTCTTCGGAGCAGACACCAAAATAGCTTTATAAACATGGCGGTAGGTAGTGATTGATCCTGAGAGAGGACTTGAATTTTATTTTTTCTGTAGCCCTTGAGTTTGGGGAGATTAGAGATACCCCTGACTCCAGGAGACATACCAATGACACAGTTGAGGATAGATGTTAGTCAAGGTTCTCTAGAGAAACAGAACTTACAGAATGAATGAATGAATCTCTCTCGCGCGCCCTTTCTCCCCCTCTATCTCATCTCATACTCAGTGGTCCAGCTGGATGTCTCAGCTGGTCTTCAGTGCATGCTGGAAGTAGGCTCTAATGCCAGTGAAGGAATGGACTTGCTAACAAGGGTGAGAACAAGCAGGCAAAGAGAACGAACTTCCTTCTTCCATGTACTTTATATAGGCTGCTAGTAGAAGGTGTGGTGTAGTGGCATTTCATTTGTATTTGAATAAATAAAGCTTGCCGGAGGATCTGAAAAGTAAAACCACCACACTGGCCAGACCATGCAACAATGACTTTAATTCTAATAGCCACACTAGCTTGCCATAGAAACCAGGTGGTAGTGGTGCATGCTCTTAATCCCAGAACTAGAGAGTATTATAAAACGGAAGGAGATAGCTCTAAGTCTCATTCTGAGATTCCTGGAGGCAGGATCTCCATTTTGGACTGAGGTAGAGGTAAGAGCCAGTTGCTGGCTGTTTTGCTTTTCTGATCATCAGGTTGAATGCCAATTTCTGACTCTTAGTTTTTATTAATCATGCCCCAAGTGATCTAGAATAAAGGTGGATCTTCCCACCTCAAAAGATAACGGATTAAAGGTTTATCATTCCACCTCAGATATCCAGATTAAAAGTGGGTCTTCCCATTTTAAATAATTTAATCAAGAAAAACAATCCCTCACAGGTTTTCACAGTTATTTGGGTTTTAGTTAATTTCAAATGTAGTCAAGATGACAACTAAGAATGGCCGTCGCAGGGTTTTGGAGGCCCACTTACTCTCATTGGACTGGAGAAGGACTTTGGTAGGGCATTCTGGGAAAGGAGCATCTTTTTTCTTTCCTTTTCGAATATAGGTGTGGACAGCAGTGCTTCAGCCTTCTTGCTCCCCTGAGGAGAAACTGACTCATTAGTGATGAGGCAGACCAGAAGGATAAGAAGAAATCAGGCCTTTGGTGAGTGTGTGTGTGTGTGTGTGTGTGTGTGTGTGAGAGAGAGAGCGAGAGAGAGCGAGCGAGCGAGAGAGAGAGAGAGAGAGAGAAAGAGAGAGAGAGAATCAGCCATGTGATTGTGGTATGAGTTTGCCTGTCTGGGAACCAGCTGCCTCCTCTTTACAGCAGGGGCACTAATGATATTCTTGGGAACGGCTTCACATGGGTCTGAGTCCAAATTAGCATTCATAAACATTAATGGGACCAAATTATGGTTTGTATTTTATGTCAACAGCAACTTCTTCATTTGTCAACAGTCCTTCTAATGAAATGATTGCCTTTTACATTTGGGACAAGTGTATGACAAATTGGTGGGATTTGTTGCCTGATCACGTGGACATTTTTGATAAATGAGGCTGGCCTAAGCAGCTGTGGAGCCTGTCCAGGAAAAAGAACACATCTGGTCCACACACAGAGTTGGGCCCGACTTAAGAATCTGAAAGCCTGCCAACACGGGCTTGCTTTCCTTCCCCGCTGTCCGTGCTCTTCCCTAGGCCAGGATCTGAGCAGCCTGTTTGCAGAGCAGCTGTGTCTTGCAATGAGTGAATTCCCAGCTGTGTCTTGAGTATACCGTCACCTGAACCACATCTGCTTCCTCCAGTCTCTTGACCTTGGCGGGCCCATCTGAGATTTAGTGGACCAGGGTGTGCCTCATTTAGGGACAGGGCTGTGTGAACACTATGGGGGGACACGGAAGAAGCACGGTCAATAGAACCAGGTAGCATTTTGTAAAAATCCATGCTCTGCGTTCTCTATTGCCAAGGAATAGAATGTAGACACCTGGGAATGTGGCTTCTGTAGACATTACATGTAAGTGTTCCCTGTGATGTCATTGTTTGCCTGAGAAGGTTGTAATAATTGCTGTTGACTAAGTCTCAGGTGTGCCTTTTCCCATCTCTGCTATCAGCAACCTGAAATGGTGGAAAAGGTTACACCTGCCTACAAAGCCTCTGTGTGGTCAAAATGGGACATCTATATTAGTATTTGCAAAGTACAAGAAACCAATTTTGGTTAATTTAAGCCAAAGCAGCTTTATGGGAAGTACCAGCAGCAACCGTTAGGAAGGTGATTCCTGGGATCTGGAAATATTAACCGGACAGAACTGCATAAAGAGATGTGTGCTGGGTGTGCTGGTTAATTAGTGTTTGTTTATTGTTGTCAGCTTGATGCTTGATGTAAGTTAGGATCCAAGCTCAACTGAGGAAATGCCCCTCACAAGCACCTGTAACTACGGGTCCAGAAGATCTGATGCTCTTTTCTGAGTACCAGGCATGCAAGTCTTGCATAGACACACATACAGGCAAAATACTCACACACATAAGATGAATTAAAGCAAAATAGAATTAAAAAAAATATATTGTCTTATAGTCAAGTTGTGGGGGTTAACATGGGAGAACCTGGCCCATTGTGGATGATGTTCCTCCTGGGCAGGTGGTCCTGAGCTGTATAAAAGAGCAAACTGAGCCAGCCGTGGAGAGCATTCCATTACACTGAACCGAATGAGCAGAGTGGACATCCCTGTCCCATTCTCACTTCAGGAGGTAGACTTAGTTTTTTCCCCATGAGTATCATGTTAGCTATGTGTTTGCTGTATGTAGCCTGCATTAGGTGAAGGTATTTTCCTTGTATTCTGAGTTCCTCGTGTCTCTTATCATGAGGGGTGTTGAACTTTGATGTCAAATATTTTATCGTGCCACATATTTATGGCCAGGAACCATCTTTCTCTTAATGGTGACATTGCTCATGGCCCTTCCTGTGGATCATGAGGGCCTGTGTGACTATGATAAACGTCCTGCTGACAACTCCCGGGGACATTCTTACTTCGCTGTTTCTTAGAAATTTCTGTTAATTAATGTATGTGAAGTGCCTGGAGCTTAGTTTGGACTCTCTCATCTTAAAAAATTTAAAGACTTTTTTATTTTGTAAACAAGTGTTTTTTTCTGCCTTTATGTGTATGTACATTGCTTACATGCCTGGTACCTAGAGACCAGAAGAGGTTGTCAGTCCCCTGGAACTGGAGTTATGGAAAGCTGTAAGTCAGCGGTTCTCAGATTTCCTAATGCCATGACACTTTTATACAGTTCCTCGTGTTGTGGTGACCCCAACCATAAAATTATTTTCATTGCTACTTCATAATTAATTTTGCTACTGTTATGAATCACAATGTAAATAGTTTTAGAAACAGAGTTTTACCAATGGGGTCTTGACCCACATGTTAAGAACCACTATTGTAAACTGTCATGTGCATTCTGGGAATAGAACCTTGGTCCTCTGCAAGAGCAGTAAGTTTTCTTAGCTGCTAAACCATCTCTTTAGTCCCTACTTTAATTTTTTTAAATGTAATTCTCCTTTTTTTATTAAATTTATTTATTTATTATGTATACAATGTTCTGTCTGCATGTATGCCTGCCCACTAGAAGAGGGCATCAGATCTCATAGATTGTTGTAAGTCAACATGTGATTGCTGGGAATTGAACTCAGGACCTCTGGAAGAGCAGCCAGTGCTCTTAACCTCTGAATCATCTCTCCAGCCCCCCTACTTTATTTTTTTAAGAAGCCATTTCTTTTGTGTGTTGGGGGGGCAGGAAGAGGAATGCGTATGCCATGGAGTGTGTGTAGAAGTCTGGATAACTTTAGGGAGTTAATTCCCTCCTTTCATGATATGGATTCTGGGTATGAACCAGGTTGTCAGTCTTGGTGACTGGTGCCCTTACTTCCTGATCCATCTTGCCAGTACCAGTTCTTTTATTTTTTTATTTTGTTTTTGTCTTTATTTGTGTACGGTTGGTATATATGTGTTCAAACATGTTCATAAGCATGTGTAGGTCAGAGGTCATCAGGTGTCTGCTACCTTATTTTTAGAGACAGGGTCTCTTCGTTGGACCTAGAGCTCCTGTC